TGGGCAGCGGGGCGGGACCGGGGTGGCCTCCCGTCGCCGCAGCGGGTCGCCCGGGACCGAGCCCCAGCCCCCGGGCAGCCTCTGCCGAGCGGGCAGCCCCGGGTTGAGCCCCTCCAGCGGGAGCACCATCTGCCCAGCTCCATCTCAACCGGGGCCGGGCCGTTCCGCAGCTGCCCCGTGCCCGAGAGAGGCTCCTGTGGGATCACAGGGGCGGTTATCTTGCCTGGGATCAGCCAATATTTGTGGCCACGTCAGGAGAACAAGCACTCCCTCGCTCTCTGCTCCTGCGGAGTCCAGTGCTGCCGTCCTGCTGCCACACTCTGCTCTCCTGGCCCCAGCGCTGCTGTCCTGGTTTGACTTCAGCTTATCAGACAGTTGGAAGACCACTGTTTGCGGAGACCCCCAAGCTGTCACCTCCTGGCACCGAAGATGACACCCATGGTGGCTTTCCTGCTCCTGAGCCTTCTGAGGATGGCGGCTCCCAAGGGACTGTGGTGCCCAGCCTGTGGGCTGGCAGCCCTGGCTCCCACCACGCAGCGGGATGTCCTCATCGCGCTGGCAAAGCAGAGCATCCTCTCCAAGCTCCACTTGCCAGACAGGCCCAACATCACTCAGCCCATGTCCAGAGGGGCCCTGCTGACCGCTCTCCACAGGATGCGTGCGCAGCGCATGGACACAGCCCTCTCCCCAGGGATGCCCCGTAATGGCGGCATCCCACGCCTGCGTCCTGGGATGGGTGTGCAGGAATACGAGATCTTGAGCTTTGCCGAGTCAGGTCTGTACAAATCCCACATCCCATGGGCATGGTGGGATGGACCCTGAGGTGGGGGGCACGGAGGGAAGGAAGTTCTTGCCTGAGGGAAGGTGGTGAGAGGTTTCCTTCTCTGCACAGGCATTTCAAAAGCTCTGCACAGGGGCATCACGCTCCTGCAAGCAATGCCAGGCTATGCACCAGGCTGGTGGGCACACTGCTGCTGGAAGGACTGGCAATGAGAGGCTCCATATCCAGAACCTTTGCATCCGTGTCCTTAGCTTACCCCAGCCAGCTGCCTCTCGCCATGGGACATGTTGGGGCAAGGGGGTGGGTGCAGGAGCGAGGTCAGACTGCTGTATCCTGTGAATTTGTTGTCCATTTCTCTTGAACCCTCCCCACTTGTGCTAGAGGTGGAGGGGTCAGATGGCCATGTTTTTCAAAACACGATTTTAGGCCTAGATTCCCCATCAGCTCACGGTGTGTGGACTTAGGTCCCCAAAGCCCATCTGCTCCCCACACTCAGCTGTGTCTCACCTTCCTACCCGAAGCGGTGGGCTGCCACATTTCACTCCAGAATCAGCTGCATTCCCAGGAGGAGAGAGCTCCCCAACACGTCCTCAGGGGTCCTGACAAGTATCCCTGGAAAAACAGGGTCCTGTACCCTCCACTTCTCCCAGGCAAATGCAGCCTTCTTTGGAAAGCAGCAGAATCACCACTCCATCCTGTGGAGCATCCTTCTGCACTGACGCTTTGCCGAGCCCAAACCGCTGCTTGGTGAAGCGGAGGGAGGCACACACCCCTCACAGCCCTTTGTGTGGTTTGTGTGGCTGCTGTGGGATAGCAAGGGCTTGCCGCATCCTTGAAGACTTCTGGGAACAATGCTCCTCCACTGTACATTGTGTTCCAATACATGAGGACAATGTAGAGTCACCTCCTGGCTTGATGGAGTGTCTGCTAGAAGCAGAAGGGCTGGACTGAGCCATGGGGCTGAGCCCCGTCTCTCGCCCCACTGCGCTGTGCCATACCACAGAGGAGGGGGGTTGTGTCCTCACGGGCAGAGCTGCGCCACAGAGCTCAGCACTGCTCTCACAGTCCCTGTCAGCCCTTCATTCGCGAGGAGAGGTGGCTCTGCAGCCTCAGCAGCAGCACAGGTGGGACATCCTGGAGAGATGTCAGGTGATGGTTTCAGCCATGGAAAGCAGAGGTAATCCTAGAGGTGCAAATCAGCATGACTGCCTTAAATCCAAGACTGGTTTACACAGCCAGATAACCTACTCCAAAATCCTCCGGCAGCTTCACTGACAAGGGGGATATGAGGCCAGAGGAGGTGGAACCAAGCCAGGTTGCTGCATTCAGCGCCGGGCCCAGATACTGCTGCTTTAGAGCGGCACAAGAAAGAGGAGCAGCAGCAGTGCAGGGGAGTGGGGCCCCCTCAATGCTTGTGTGTGCTGCACCCTGCTCCCTGCTTTGTATACACCACCCACTGGCTCCGACTCAGTAGCGCCCGACCACGGGACATCCCTCTCCCCCCTTCGCCTCCTGACTCTGCTTTCGGTTCTGTGCACAGGATCCTCCACCTCCCGCAGCGTCCGCCTGCATTTCCGCTTCAGCCGGGAGCTGGCTGGGAGCACCGAGATCCTGCAAGCCACCCTCTACCTGTTCTGGGCAGTCCCCGTCCCCAGGACGCACCCCATCACCGTCAGACTCTTTCAGCCAGACCCAACAGGGCTGAACATGACCGTGGCCAGTGAGACACAGCTGGAGGTGCGGAGGGCTGGCTGGGCTACGCTGGACGTGGGCCGAGCTGTCCAGAGTCTCTTCAGCCGAGGGAGCCAGAGGCTCACCATGGAGCTGGAGGTGGCAGAGGACTGGGGGTCTCCCCTCCTGGCTGTCCACAGTGATTCCCACTTGCCGTTTGTGGCAGCCCAGGCCCGGGCCAGGACGCCCCACCGGGTCCAGCGGCGCGGCATCGATTGCAGTGGGGACTCTCGGATGTGCTGCCGCAAGGAATTCTTCGTGGACTTCAAGGAGATCGGTTGGGAGGACTGGATCATCCAGCCGGAGGGATATCACATGAACTACTGTGCAGGGCTCTGCCCGCTGCACATGGCTGGCATCCCCGGCCTCGCTGCCTCCTTCCACACGGCTGTACTCAACCTCATCAAAGCCAACAACGCGGACGCGGCTGTGGACTCCTGCTGCGTGCCCACACAGCGTCGCCCCCTCTCTCTGCTCTACTATGACCGGGACAGCAACATCGTCAAGACTGACATCCCCGACATGATTGTTGATGCCTGTGGTTGGCCTTGACTGGCTGCCAGAGGAGGCAGGAGGGCAGGACCTGTGCTGCACAGGGCTCTCCTCCTCCTGGCCCCTCTCTGGCAGTGTGAGACCTGGCGAACTGCTGAGAGACGGGAACCCAGCTCAGGTGTTTTCTCCTCCTGAAGTTGAAGCATCAAGGGTGATATTGAACCTGCGAGTCCTCTCCTCCCTCACCTCCCACACGGCTCTTTTCCCCCTTCAGATCTGCTGGTGGATTCCTCTGCCCATGAGCCAGGGCCTCAGGGACAGGCTCCTGATGGACACCAGACCCTTCTACCTGCAGGACTCTGCATGGCACAACTCCCCGGGCAGCTCAGGGCAGCCCCGGCTCTCCCCACTGCTGGTCCCCAACCAAGGCCATGGTGCAGCCCTCAGTGCTGCACCACAAACATGTGCTCTTCAGGTAACGGGTCCCAGCAGCAGCTGCCTCAGGCAGCCGCAGGAGATAGAAGCTGGAAAGATGCTGGGGGATGGCTAGGCCAGAGGGGAGAGGGCCACCCACAGGGTCCCGCTCCTCAGCTGGACGTGACATTGAGGCGGGTGAGGAAGGGGAAATTGATCCCAGCAGGAGGAAAGTATCTCCTTCTCCAAGCATCCCAGCTACCTGGTATTCAATAAAAGACTCTCAGCCATAGTGTGCGCACATGTATGTGTACACATATGTGTGCCCTGTCATTAGCCAGCACATCTTCTACCTCTCCCCAAAGTGCAAGGTGGTGGATGTGCCCTTGCACAGACAGCCCCAAGATGGGCACAGAACTGACCCACTGTGCCATGCACAGTCTTCTTCTAACCAACGACTTGGTCATAAGCCCCAGGCAGCGGGGCTGGGCATCCGTCACCAGGATGCACTGTGCCCAAAGGCTACAGTGCTGCTGGCCCCCACAGCTCTCATGCCCTCTGCCCCTTGGCTGCCTTTCCGGGGGGGGGATGCAGAACCCCTGTCTTGTCTCAAGCAGATCCAGGGCATGGCATGGGAACCCCCGGACATGGGGGGGTTGTGTTTCCCACCAGGGAAGGCACCATTCGTTGGTTGGGCCAAATTTTCCATACCACCAAAACCACGTGTATTTGGCCGTTCTCGTCCCAAGTCAGCACAAAACAGAGCAACTTTTCTCCCTTTGAAAGTGGACAGAGATTGGCAGGCCAGACCGCCAAAGCCCCGGTGCCCAGGACACCCACCCTTGCCGACAACCCCACTCCCTCACTGGGCAGCACCCTCTCGGCATGTCTCTGGCCTGCGGCCCGGAGCAGCTGCCCCCCTCGCTGCCCCTTGCCAGCCTGGCTGGCGGCAAAGTGGGACATGTCAGTGCCGTGAGAGCTGGGGACAAAGGGCGGCTCTGACACATCAGCCCCATTACGTAATCTTGCGTTAGGGTTTCTCCACTGCTTCGCACGTGTCCCCCATGTGTGAGGGCTGAGAAAGCAGGGAGAGGGTGCGGGCGGTGGGAGAGGGAGGTCCACGAAGGGAGCTCCTGGGGTGATTGCCTGAGGTGCATGCAGATGGCTGTGGTGGAGCTGGGTGACTGCAGCGCCGTGGTTCACCCTGCAAGCACTGACGACCCTACCCCAGAGGCTGGAGACAGAGCTGAATTAGGTGGGAAGCGGGTCGGCAGAGAGAGGAGGATGGTGTTAGACCCTCTCCCCATCTGGCTTGAAGGACAGCTTTGCATCTGCTGTCCCACTACAGGATCAGGCTGTGGTGGTCGGAGCCATGAGCAGCTTTGGCTGGAGTGGGGGCCAGGATACACATTGCCCCAGAGGACCTGTGCACCTTGAGCAGGGGTGGAACAACCACTAGCAGGAGACAGCGTTTGTCCACGTTGCACGTGTCCTGAGGCAGGTGCTCCCACCAAGCCCTGCTGGAGCGGGGACCCACATCTACCCATCAGGTCGCAGCAGCCACCATGCTGAGATCCATGCTTCCAGGCCCTGGTGCCTCCAGGACCGAGACCTGAAGGGTTCCCGCTGACCCAGCTGCTGCAAAGGCAGGATGGAAAACTCAGGGATCAATACTGTCTGGGACCCAAGGCCACTTGCGCAAACCCAAAGAGGGTTTGGTGTTTGTTTTTTTTCTGTTTTCTTCTCTTCTTTTTCCAATGCCTCTTTTCACTGTCTCTATTTATTGAACAAACAGCTTTTCTGGGGCCAGTGCTGAGCTCTCGAGGCTGCAGCAGGCATGGGCAGAAAGGGGATGAGTGAGGGGCAGAGGAGCTGTTGGCTGTGTGCTGTGGCCCTACAGATGCCTCAGCTGAGGGCAGCACAAGCCCAACACCCTGAGCTGAGGCATCTGAAGGTGCTGCAAGCCCTCGAGTGGGGCTGGAATGCCACCGGTTCCCCTTATTGGCCCCGCAATGCTCCTGCCAGGCACTTCACTCACTCCCCACGGGGCCCAGAGCAGAGTGGGGCTGGCTGCCTGTCGCTGCTGCACAGCCCTGCAGGGCACAGGTGCCTTCCCTGAAACAGCTCCCCAAACCCCAGCTCTGGCCTTTGCTGGGCTGCACGTGTGCTCTCTGGACAGCACAAGACACAGCAAGCATTGCCCACCAGCGCTGCGAGGACGCTGCCCCTTCCCCTGAGGCACAGGGATGGAGGACATCTCCTGGTCCAGACCTCTCTGGACCTATGAGTTGTCACCATGTTACCTTCTGTCCCTGAGGCTGCAGTGCAGCCAGCCCAAGCTCCACAGGACAGCTGCATCCCGATGGACATGAGGGTCCTGCTGATTCAGGGTGCCTGGGTTAGCAGCAGCTCCTCCAAGAGGGGTCCCGGCCTCTGAGGCCCCTCCCTGTCCCTGGCAGATTGAGATTAGGGCAGAACACATTGTCCCGGGGGTTTGCCAACCACCTGAAAACCTGCCTTCTCCCGTGCCTTCAGGTCAGAGGTCCAGGGTCCTGCAACACAGGCCCTCCTCTCCATGCATGCGGCTTGTCCCGCTCCTGCGGGAAACAGGACAGGCAGGTGCAGCCTGCAGCCCCTTCCCCACTGGCAGCATGAGGCAAGGGTGACCAAGGTTCAGGAATCCCACAGTGGCACCCCCACCTGGGGAACACCACAGGGTGAGGAGGGTGCAGTGAAGGAAGAGCGATCCCCTGGCACAGCCCACTCCCTCCCGTGGGACTGGCAGAGGACAGGGGGGGCTCCCAGCACACACAAGGAGCTGCTTAGCCCCCACAGCTGGTGGTGGCCCAGGCAGGAGCTGTGTATTTGTAGTCCTAAAAAGCTGCACATGGAAAAGTGACTATCTGAGCTTCACCACAGCTCTCGTTTATTTTGCAAGTCTGCTCCCTTGTCAGCGAAAGTAATCTCCATGTAGGCGTGAGGGCAGAGTACCAAGTCAGGGTCTTCAGGGAGTGGAACAGAAAACCTGCGAGTAGCAGGATGCAACTCCCAGATGGGCATCCACTCCTCCTTCGCAGGTGGGAAAGGAGAGGGGATGAGGGCGGCACTCACATCACAGTATCCCCTCTCCCCTTGCTGTGACACCGCACTTCTGCTGGGTTCCCTCGGGGGTCTTTGGAAGGGGTGTCTTGGGGAGGCATGCCCGGCTGCCCTGAGACACCGTTGCACCGGTACTGGAGGGGATCCCACCCTGCAGCCCCCCAGCCTGGCCCAGCGCGGGAGGTACCATGCGGACGGCATCGACCCACCACTTGGGCTGTGCCAGATACGACACAGAGGGGAACACAGGGCTCCACAAGGTGCCATCCCCTCGGCCTCCACTTTGGGAGGGGACAGCCCCCCGCTGCTGCCGGTGGCTCCTGGAAGAAGCCTTTGCCAGTGTCAACAGACCCCGAATCAAAGGTCCGAGCGCGACGTGCCAGGGTGTCCCTTGGCAGGGCCTGGCTCTCCGGGGAGGGGTGGGAATTCCTGAAAGCCCCTCGCGTTGCCTTGAAAAGCGTTAATTTTTAATTTTCGGTCTCACGGGCTGTTTCCAGCCAGCGGCCCCCAGCTCGGAGGCGCAGTAGGTGATCCGCGCCGGGCGCCTTCGCCTCGGCTGCTGCGCGGTGCCGGTGCCGGTGCCGCTCCCGCACCGTCGGGCCCCGCTCAGCGACCCTGCGGGGAGGGGGGGGTCGCGGG